ATGTGGGCCTCAATCCCAGGACCCTGGGATCATGACGTGAGCCAAAAGCAGACACTTAACCAACTGAGCCACCCATGCACCCCAGCCCCTTTGTTTTTATAAAGTTTTATTGGAATAGTCATGCTCATTCATTTACTTGCTGTCTATGGCTTGTCTCTGCTACAACAGAAGAATTTGAGTATTTACTACAAAGACCAGATAGGCCCAGAAAGCCTATAATATTTACTGATTGGCTCTTTACAGAAAGTTTGAAGATCAGTGTTCTATATACAACAAAATCTGTATTTCCTGTAGTTGGATGCTGTATATCAGAAGACAGTGTCACAAATGTTATCAGAGAAATTAGGCAAAGTCTGCCTCTGGAAATTAGTCATACACAAAAATAAATTACAATGAGGAGAGCCTGAGTGGCTCAGTTGGTTAAGCATCTGCCTTCAGCTCAGGTCATGATCCTAGGGTCCTGGGATTGAGTCCCACATCGGGCTCCTTGCTCACTGGGGAGTCTGCTTCTCCCTCTGCCCCTCCTCCCTCCTCTCATGCCACATTCTCTCTCTCAAAAATAAATAAAATCTTAAAAAAAAAAAGTTACAATGAAATTACCTTGAATGACTTTTTACTATTTGCATGTATATCATGACTGAAATGACATTTTTACTTACCTTCAGGATTGTTTAATTATTTTAGAAGTGTGGTCTAACTAGATGTTACAGGAAAACCAAACCCAGAAAGGGACAGATCAAAACAAACACAAAACAATAAAAACAAGCAAGGGCAACATCATCTAATCAAGTAGGACTGTATCATATACACTGCACAACGCATTGTGCCCTGTTTTGAGGGGGCTCCTGCCTGTTCCAAATGGATCTATAAATATTTCATATGGTACTAAATTTTCAATTATGCAGTAACAAGGAAAGATCTGACTTTTGCCATGATATAATTTGTTCAAATTTCCTTTCTATACAGAGGAACTGTTTTAATAAAGAAACCTCTTTTCAAATTAATTTTAAACTCATATAAAGAGCAGATAAATTTCATCACAACAATATGAATTTTAAATTATTAAGAAAAATACAGTTAGATGTGGATTTTACATCTTTAAAACATGAAAAGGCTTTAAATTTTGTTCTACAATCAATACTTCAGGAGACATTATGGCTTTCATTAGCAACTAAGAGCTAAAACTAATACTCAAATGATTTTACAGGGGCAGTCCACAAAGACAGGTTAAATCCCATTACAAGTCAGTTCCCTGGGACTGTCTGTCCATTTTTGTTTACAATTCAATAATACTCAAAATGAGATCAACTTGGGCTCAGATTATTGACAGAAATCTTCACTATAATAGTAGCATGAGTAATGCATATTCTTTACATGTCAAAATTTAGTTTGGAATGGTTCAACCTTAGATTCTATCCAAAATGTTTCACCCAAAAAAAGAAAAAAAAAAATCAACAAGCATTTATTAAGTAAGAAGTCATCTGTTCCCATTAAATATCACAGAGACCTTATTTTAACACTGTTTTGGGACCATAAAGAAATACAATCAAGAAATTCCAATGAATCGATTATAATGGAACTTAAATCTGAAATAACTTCAAGTCAAAAAAAGGGTAATATTTCATTTTAACAATCTGCTCTTAACAGAGACCCTACTAGACTTTCTCTAGTTTGACATGGAGAGTCCAAGGTGGCAATCAATGCCCCTCTATCTTCTAAATGAGAGGTATTCCTGCAAAAGTCCACAGCAACAATCTGATGTCCTCATCTGTAATAGGGAAGTGCAGCATTGTGCTTTGGTATAATCCTTATTTAATATGCATATGGTCAACATTTTTATTTGTCATGTTTATAATACTACAAATTGAAAGGAGAACAGAGAACAGGAAATATAAAAAAGAACATAGGATAATAAGCCTTCAGTTCATCCTTCACAGGACACTGACTCAATACACTTTCATAGAAAAAATCATTTTATAAAAATGTTAGGTTATCAGCAACATTTGATAGGTTATTATTTTCTAGCATGTTCTGTAAAGAGTGGAAATTAGGAAGGAAAAAAACCCTCATAATTACAGTAACCCACTTAGCTTCCATTTTGTTGATATTCCCCCTAAAGTAGCATTTACCAAAATGCTTTCCTTGGTCAATTAAGTTCTGATTGTACATTCCCTTCTTGGATCTGTATTAGCATATTAAAGACTCTGAGAAGTCCTGCAGGAAAGAAAACTATCTTCATTAATCTAGCATTTTCAAACTTAATGGACTATAGACCCATTTTTATTATAACAATATTCTGTAGAACTGACATTCCATGGAACACTGGAAAATGCTACTTTAATAACAATTAAAAAAATTAAATCCCTAGTTCTTGCTTTTGCAATTTTAATTTATAAAGAAAAATACTCCCTTTTCTGCAAAGTTTTAATTCACATTATTTTACTACCTGCATTTCCTCTTTTGTGAAGCTGGCCGCCTCATCCCCCAATTCATGTAGATACATGCAGTCAGGCTTTGGACACTGCATATTCTTTAAGAAGTAACTGCAGTATTTTGTTGTACCTAGAGATGCCTGCAGAAAGAGCAGGGAGGGGGAAAAAAGGACCCAAAATGTGAATTGGCACAATGAGAATTTCCATGTTTGTTGTTTTCACTTCACCTCAAATAAGGCACAGACACGACAAAACAAGAGGTATGGCTCTCAATACTGGAGAACTAAACTATTACTAGCAGGATCTATTAAAGATGATGCTCCTTTGGAAGAACTAAAGAAAACACCTCAGTTAGGGTTTCCAGAACTTGAGTACCCAAATCATCCTCCCTAGAGATCAGAAGAGAAGATACACAAAATCTATTTCACATTACAAAAGTTAGGCACCTAAGCAAATTCTTTTTTCTAGTTATGTCATCCTTTTTCCATTTATATAAAGCATGGCTTAGTGCGACCCTTTACTCAAACCTTAATTGATCAATGGCCAAATCTTTAAGGATGACAAATTAGAACGATTCTCTATTTCTGATATGAATAATAGATCCTATTTTCACAAAATAAGATTTATGTGTAAATACAGATTTTTAAAGATTATCACCTGATAATGAATGTGTTTATTCCTACCTGGTAAAACAAGACCCTCCATAAGCTGGCAATAAACAAATTAGCTGTCATAAGTTAGTATGGATGCTTAAGAAGCAATCTTCAAATAGATTCCCTCCAAATGTAATAAGTAAATGGTAGGCTCTCCCCTAGTTACATTTTATCTCTTCCCCCTTAAAAAAAAATCAAGAGGACCATATTACCTTAAGTGTTCTGCCATCTACTACCACATTGTTGACACACTGTATGGCTCTGAGAGCATCTTCTGACCGGATATAGGTTACATAAGCACTGGCACTTGGACCCTAAAGTGAAAACACACTGTTACTAGTTTCAAATTCAAGAAAAACTTTAAAAAAAAAAAACAATTCCTTTGCACCCTGCCTAGGGAATTCTTAAGACCTTTACAACTACTATCATTTAAAAGGGGCGCCTGAGTGGCTCAGTCGTCAAGCGTCTGCGTTCAGCTCAGGTCATGATCCTAGGGTCCTGGGATCGAGCCCCGCATCGGGCTCCCTGCTCGGTGGGAAGCCTGCTTCTCCCTCTCCCACTCCCCCTGCTTGTGTTCCCTCTCTCACTCTCTCTCTCTCTGTCAAATAAATAAAAATCTTAAAAATAATAATAATAATAATGACATAATCAGAAATAGTAGTAGCTTTGATTAAACCATATCCTAGCTCATCTTAAAACACTTGTACTTATCTGATTTTAAGTAGACTAAAATATAATACGGATAACGTATCATCTCTGGCTTGGTATTTATTTTTCTAAATCATTTGACAGGCTCGTCAAGGTTACAACAAACTTTGAAAATTAGATTTAAAAAAATAAAATTTAAAGACACCGTGTCAAATTACGTTCTCCCCAAAATAAATGCAATTTGCAAGTATTCTATCTGCTAATACCAGCATAACAAAGATGCTCTATTAAGTTTTCAATATCTGAAAATATTAATTAGAAATCATCTAATTATTACATTGCCTGATAATAGACTCAACTCCCCCTCCCCCTCAAACCATCACTTAATCTTTGTTTTACTATTTCTTACTACTATCAATTCACTCTTTTAAGTCCTGAAGTCAAATGAGCACCAGAAATTCCCCCACCCCACCAGTAGAGGTCACTACACTGCTTAAATCCTTGACCCTCAGACTTTCTAGAAAATCCCAGAAAGCAGATTTTCCTTCTAAACAGCCCAGGCCAAGCCTAGACCACGGGGAGGAAAGGCAAAAATCCCTATAATTGGTTACCTGTGAGCCTGCATATGATGTGCTATTATTGATGACAACTTTATGTATTTTACCAAACTTCCCAAAATATTCTGGTCGTTTTAAAACCTATAAAAGAAGAAGAAATAAGGTATAATGTGTTCCCATTTTCATCAATGTTATTCTTATAATGGGGCATATCCCATCCCTCTTCAGTGAAAGGAAAATAATTTTTAAAGTTTTCTAATAAATGTGACTACTTCCTAATTACAATTTGTATGGTTAACCTATAGGAAATCATCAAGAGTCTAAAAGCTATTTTTCATTGACCCACTATATGGAAATTAAGACTCCCTAAGTTTGGTATTACCCACTATGTTCTAATATCTGCACCAATAATCCATGGGATCTTATCTTCACAGTGTGCTTAAACACCAAACAGATCAAATATCTTAACCACATTTTCATTAACAGATAATCCTTATAAAAAAGTAATTGTCAAAACAATGACCAAAATAATTATGTATTAAACAGAGACAGAAACTCAAGAACAGACATAGTAGAGTCTCTACTCATAAATCTATTGTATATAACATTTGATATATTATATTAAACCACAAATTGCAAATATGGTAACAATGTTCAACCTTAGCTTCATGCTGTGTGTGTGTGTGTGTTATACTTAGTTTCTTTGTGTCGATTTTACCACTTCTTGATTATCTCCTGTTTTTTTCCTCCCTTTTCCTGGTAAATAACATATATGCATGCGGTGATATATGCAGTGATGGATGGAAAAAAATCGAGGAAACAAATTTATACATTTCTTTCTCTATTACCTGGTTACTTTTTGGTGGTTATTCCCCCTCGCATCTGTGTCACTTCCTTTACTTTGTGATCACTACATACATTCATTTAACTTCTCTTACAGACTTACTTGACCTTGGCTAATTTGACTAATATGTACCGTGATACAAAAACCTCTCCTTGTAATTCACAACTACTTCAAAATTAAATTTTGTTCTTTCCCTAAAATTTATCTGTAGATCTACTTTCCTACAACCTTCCCAAATAGCAAGCTCTCTCTCAGGGAAAGCATTCTGTGTATACCTGTCCATGTGTGTGCAAAGTATTCTTTCCAAACACTCTAATTTGATAACATTCTCACATACTTACAACTTAGCTAGTATGTTCTGCATATGAAAGAATCAAAGCTTTGTGAAACAGTCTGACTGGGGTATCATTAATTCTCAACAGTTTTCAAATTAATTAACATAATTATTTTTACCACAGTTTACTTTAGGTTCTTGTAAGTACAAGGCTGTTATGTTTTTTATAGCCAATTTTAATGGATTATAAGATGAGGTGACTGTATTGGTTTTCAATCTTTTTTCCACCAAATCCCCCAAGACAAATGAGACTATTAAGTGGCAAAAGCAATGACCCTCAGGTTGTACACAGCAAAGTCTCAGGGTTGATGAGTAGGGAAGAGTTTATTCTGAAAAGTTTCCTGGCTGGTGGAGTTTAGAACTGCACTCAATATTCCAACTGGATGCACACCAACTCAGCACAGGACTTCAGAACCAAAATATCTGCTTCAAAGAGTTCAGACTGGTCACACATTGTGCTGCATCATCATCTCAAATCACATCTGAGTTTATGGTAGTAGCTCTCAATGAAGGCAGCATTCAAGGGAGCATTTAAAAAATCTGTGGGAGCTTTTATTGGGGGAGGTTGTCAAAGTGACTGGGAGGCCATGCTTATGTTCAGTGGATGGGAGCCAGGAATGGCTTACAATGCTCTGTCTGGCTAGCCCTGCACAGTAAAGAACTGTCCTGCACAACTTTTGAATGTTCTACAAGACATTCATGTAGCTGAGAAACCTATTTATAATTAAGTGAAACTAGAAACAAATTCCACATTATATATAAAATCAAAAGTAGTTCCCTACAGTTTTGACATATGTTGAATTTATAGGAAAGCAAATAATACGTAATTAAGGTATGACTACAAGTGCTTTGTTCAGAATTATACCAAGAGTTATTTCAGAAAAATCACATCATTGGCTTTTCATAGTATCTGGATTGCCGATACATATACCTATAACAATCTGCCTTTGTAGGTGTCACACGGTGATTCTGCACACAGATGTAAGCATCTTACTATTTTATTGTGTACTTAAAAACAGTACTTCCCAAACTTAAATATGCATACAAATCATTTAAGGATCCAGTTAAATTGCATATTCAGATCTAGTAGCTCTGAAGCAGGGCCTGAGTTTACATAATAAGCACCCAGGGGATACTACTCTACCAGCTCAGAAACCACACCCTGAGTAGCAAGGTTCTAGAGTAGTGGTACCCAAATTTTACATGTAGAAATAGTCTGTTTTATAAATTATTTCTCTTTTATTCCTTTTATTTCTTTACATCATGAAATCACTTCATAAAAGTCAAAGAGTGTTATAAAATATTTTTAAAAACGGTTACCAGCTCTGATAAGGTTGAAAACCACTCACGGAAACAGTTTCTGTCCAGTATTTGGGTATAATACCTTCAATACAACATAAGACTTGTATATAATTATACTGACATGTCACACTGGAGCCAGAATGATTATTTTCAAAGCACAAATCTAGCCATGTCACTGTTCCTAAGAACATTCAACAGGTTCCCACTGCCTTTAGAATAAAGTGCAAACTCCTTTGCATGGTTAGAAAGCCCTTCATAGTATGTTACTACTTACCTCACCAGCCTCATCTCTCACCACTGCAGTCTAATCTTCCAGCCAAAAAAAAAAAATCACTTGCAGACCGACATCTTTCTCATCCTGAAGAATCTGTACAGTTCCTGTACCAGAAGCACTTCTCCCCAAAGATAGTGGAAGAGTACATACTTCCCCAACAAGATCGGGTGCTCTCTCTTGTGCCTCCACAGCACAAAGTACTTCTCATAGTGTATTATACTGTTAGTTTGAAAATAAGCAAGGACTACCTTTGTACTGGTGTATACTCAGTGTCTTACACACTGCCCAGTACTCAATAAATGTTAACCGAAAAATAACTGTTTCAGCACTGAACAAAAAGAGTTACATGGATAAAGAACATTGGTGGGCCTCAAAGTATTAGCAAATGGCCTATGGCTGATAAGAAATGGCCTGCCCAGGCAAGGGAAATTCAAATAATTTAAACCCTTTTTTTTTTTTTTTAAAGATTTTATTTATTTGAGAGAGAGAGAGAGAGCAAGAGCAGGAACACAAGCAGGGGGAGTGGGAGAGGGAGAAGCAGGCTTCCCGCTGAGCAGGGAGCCCAATGAGGGGCTCGATCCCAGGCCCCCGGTATCATGACCTGAGCTGAAGGCAGATGCTTAACGACTGAGCCACCCAGGCGCCCCCAAATAATTTAAACTTTCTATATTAAGTTAAATACTCCAGATTCTACCTAAACATACAACTAGCAAAACAGTATTCTAGTGATTAAGAAGTATGGGGAGTAGGTAAAACACCCTGCATATCACTACATGGTCCATATATTCAAAATATCATATATTTACTTCACAGTGAGCCACCTTTAATAGTAATATAGAGGGCGCCTGGGTGGCTCAGTCGTTAAGCATCTGCCTTCGGCTCAGGTCATGATCCCAGGGTCCTGGGATCGAGCTGCGCATTGGGCTCCCCGCTCAGCGGGAAGCCTGCTTCTCCCTCTCCCACTCCCCCTGCCTGTGTTCCCTCTCTCCTGTCTCTCTGTCAAATAAACAAATAAAATCTTTAAAAAAAACAAAACAAAAACAAAAATAATAGTACTAAAGAATACAAAAAGCCATGTGAGAGAATTATAAACGCCCAATGGCATGCCTAATGTTTAAAATGTCTTCCTATATATTCTTTGGTAACATAGTCAAGTGATCATGGATACTACAGAGAAAATAAAGTTGGGAAGCAGACAGAAGGATGAATGGATGAACAACAGACCAATCATCAGTGTAAAATATATTGGAATAGGACCTTTAAAAAACTGGTCGGTTGGAAAGGCGTGTGGTTTCTAGTCCTGGCTCTGCTATGAAGTAGCTGTGTGATCCCAGGTCACTTAACTAAGTCACTTAACTTCCCTATGCTTCAATTTCTCATTTGTAAAATATCATGGTTCTGTCTTTTAAGTCTTTTAGTTCCTCAAACAAGCTGCTCTCTTGGACCACCAAATACCTGAGACACTCCTGTCCTTATTTGCTGCCTAGCCAATCTCTAGTAACTCTTAATTTATCCTTTCCTCTGGGAGGCTTTTTGTGGATTTCTATACTAGCCAAGTTCCCCACTGTTACATGTTCCCCAAAAAACTCTGTACTTCCCTGTTTATAAATCCCCAGCACACTTATAAGTACTTAAATTTAGGGCGCCTGGGTGGCTCAGTTGATTAAGTGTCTGCCTTCGGCTCAGGTCATGATCCCAGGGTCCTGGGACTGAGCCCTGCATTGGGCTCCCTGCTCAGCAGAGAGCCTGCTTCTCCCTCTACTCCCCACTTGTGTTCTCTGTTGCTATCTCTGTCTCTCTCAAATAAATAAATAAAATCTTTAAAAAAAAAAAAAAAAGACTTAAATCCTGTCTTACCAATAGTCTGTAAGTCAGTTAAGGGTAGAGAATGAGTCTGGCAAGCTAAATTATTTTATTTCCAACATCAAAGTACCTAAAACATGGTAAGTATTCAAGAGTTAATTTATAAAATGAATGAATTAGGTTCCAGCAAATCTGAAATTTTAGGATTTGGAAGATGATTACCTCTAATCACTGCCTCGAACTACCTACCAGATCTTCTAAAATAGATTTTCTGGGGAAACCTAGGTGGCTCAGTTGGTTAAGCATCTGCCTTCGGCTCAGGTCATGATCCCGGAAACCCAAGGTGCCTCTCCCTCTACTCCTCCCCCACTCGTGCTCACTCTCTCTCTCTTAAATAAATAAAACCTTTAGGGCGCCTGGGTGGCTCAGTTGGTTAAGCGACTGCCTTCGGCTCAGGTCATGATCCTGGAGTCCCGGGATCGAGTCCCGC